TTCCAAAGCCCAGATCCTGTCACTTGTCCTTGAACCATTTCGATGGCCCCTGTTGCCTTAAGGGTGTCACTCTTCGCATCCCAAGTCCTGAAACATGCGTTTCCAGTTGCCCTTTTGAGCTTCTCCTCCCCCACCTTCTAACAGCCTCGCCCGGTCCCCACGGGTGATTCCTCCGTTCACTCGTCAGCCCAGGTGGCGTGTGCTTGTCCAAGGCCCCAGGAAGGTAAACGGCGTGGCCTCTGGCATTTCCGGAATGGTTCCAAGCTCCGTGGAATTGCCCTGTTGTTGTGGAACACGCGCTGACCGTATTTTCCAACTGACAGCACAATTCCGCAGCATCTTCGCAGGTGTGTAGGTGCTGGGCCGTGCTGTGGGCCCATAGTTCACAAATTGCCACTCACAGATTGTCAACATGTTGTAACCAGACAACCCAAGAGACCTCCGAGAATGCGTGTGCCTCCCCCACATTCTCTGTCTCTGTCTCTGTGATTTTATTTAGTTTTTCTGGTTCAGTTTCCTTGGTACTCAAAATATAGATAATATGCAGGCACACCGAGGAGATGAGTTTGGATTGCTAACAATACAGCGTACACCTCCTTTAACATTTATAACTTCGGGATTTTCATGATGAGAAAAATTTCCACTTCAGAGTTCTTTTCATTCGTAAGTCACACATTCTGAACTACGTAGATAATTTAGTAATTAATTTCTTCTTAATTAATAAGATAGTTTAATGATCGCTGTACTGTAATTTAGGACTGAGTTGAGACATTAGGGGATCTTTTATTTGTTACTGGAAGAGTCACGTCTGTCGTGGTTTTCATTGTTCGTGGGGGTTCTGCAGGAAGCCCTGCGGCTCTCGTGGGAGAGCCTCGCCGTGAAAGGCGCGGGGATGTCACCTTTGGGTGGTCACGCCAGAGATAAAGACAGAATGTGTAGTGACCCTCACCTTCATAAATCGTGCTTTTAGAGTATTTTTGAGCAGATTAGTGTTTTTACGAGAGTGTCATAAACATTTTAAGTACTGTTGTAGAGGCATCCGTCAGGCTCTCAGTCTCCCCAGCACTGCCCGCCCCCTCCCGAGCTGCGGGCCACAGTGCTCCAGCTCTCCCCTGGAGCAGAATCGTCTTCCTCACATTTGGCTTCATCTACACTAAGTCACCAGCTGGCACCTGACTGTGGCTCTTCATGGTCACTCAGATCTGTGCACTTTCACGATGCCGTCCTCAGCTTTCTGCCCCCACGCTGCCCCCACGTCATCTGGGCCCCACACAGCTTGGACGTGGGACTTACCTGAGATCGCTGCTTACACAGCAGTGCGAATGTGGGGTGACACTGGGAGTGGAGCGACCATCCTTCACAAACATGAAAGAGCCCGTTTTGCTGAGGAATTTCGGGTTTAACGTTGGTACGACCAGAGCTACTGAAGAACCTTAGTAAGCGGATCGATGCCGGGATGAGCTCTGCCTTTGCGAAGATCACCCTGCAGTGTATTCAGGGCCTTTAGGCTGCAGTCGGGGGGACTTTGGAAGCTGCTTTGGTCACCAGCCATGGAAGGATAAGCTCTTGGATCAGGGCAATGGCAGTGAAGATGAATTCAAGAGAAATTCTGGTGGCGGAATCAAGATCTATATGTCTTCCCTGTCCGTGCCTGGGGGTAGGTTGTAGCATCGGCTGAGAAGGGAGAGGAGAAGCAGGTTTGGGAGAGGCGAGGAGGCTCAGGCCAGGCAGCGTGGCCGTGGACGTACATCTCCCCGTATGTCCGCAGGGGGATGCCAAGGTGGTCATGGGCTCTGTAGCTCCAGGATGCAGGAAGGATACACGGCAGGGCTGCTTAGGGCGATGGTGGGGGCCCTGGACATTGAGGTGGTGACTGAGACATTGAGGGGGAGAAGCTTGCGGTGGCTGCAGGGCTGGGCCCTCCTGGTGTGACCAGAGGCTGTTCTCCTCCTCATTTAGTGTGAACGGTTTAGAAACAAAGTGGAAGTAGAAACTGGGCAGTCCGTCAGAATTTAACAGAGTCCTATTGGGAGCTGAGAGTCTTTTCCACTAACTAAAGGTGCCATTTATCTAGAAAGCCTAAAATTTGTGGAGAAAATAAATGTATAATGCACTTTTTTAGTTGTATAATGCACTTTTTTAGTTGTATAAGTTCCTAAACTTTTTGATTGAAGAATGGAAACACGTACATGAAAGTGTAGTTGGGCTTTAAAAAGTATGACAGGATCATCGCCATGTCAAGAAGGGGCCATTTCCTGCCCCTGGGAGCTCCTCGTGTCCTCCCCGGGCACCAGCCCACCTTCCTCCCTGAAGATGGGCGCCCTTCTCCCTCTGTCCCCAGCGATGGGGCTTGTTTTTGAACTTTATGCAGCATAATTGTACATATACACTCTCTCTCTCTCTTTCTCCCTTTCTCCTTTTCTCCCTTTCTCGATTAAAGGGGCTAATTAAAAGGTATCTTTTATGTTATCCAAATATTATTTTTAAATTGTAGAGAAAGTGACTTTTAAAACAACACTGAGTATTACTATGGAAGTACCAGGAGGGTAATTAAATCGGAACCATGAACGGTAAAAGAGCAAACATTTCAGTCCCTACTGATGACACCATCGTAGATTTAGCAGTAGCTCATGTGACGGATTCATAGTAAAGCATGCCAGCAAACTTGAGAATACATCAACTCTCAATAATAAAAGATTCCAGATCTTTCTAAGTGAGTTCAGGTGATTGTGTTTCTGATACACACGTTTACATTAAACATATATGTGTTTCCATGTGTATTTTATATAAAATATGTAGCAAATTCATATTTGAATGATCAAATATAGATAAAATCTAAATGGTTATAAAAATTGCCCAGCCAGCATAGTCTGGGGTAATATTCATGTTTTAAACCCATTAACATTTGAATGTTCTAAATATGGTGAGTAGTTAACGATTATAGTTACAGAACAGCTCCCTCCTCCTCCCCTCCCCCGCATTCCATTTCCTTTGAGTTGTTTTTTTGGGGTGTGGGGGGGCAGTTCATCTACCCCACAGACCTTCCCAGCTCTCCTGCCCAGGAATTCTGAACTCACCCGGACGTTTGCATGGTGGTGGGAGGCGTGGGCCGCTGTATTTTCCTGGATGGCAGTTGTCTCTAGTTTTTTCCCACCCAAACAATTCCTTTAGGGATGTCTTAGGTGAGGTGCCCAGAGATACCACCCCCTCCCTGGGACATAAGTGACAACAGCAGTTAGCAAATTGGTGGCTGTTGGCGAGCAGTTGACTCTGTAGTAGATTTCCGTTTTCGTGGCGGGGGGTGGGATGGGCAGACCTTCTTAAACAGTCCCTCTCCCCTTCCTGTTTCCTCCTCTTCCTCCTCCTCAAGTCAGATAAGAGTAAATAAGAATGCAGTACAGTTGATAATCAAAAATCCCTTTTTGCTATTTAAAAAAAAAAAAAATAGAAATGGCAATCACCAGGCAATCTAGATTTTTGGTTATAATTTTCCTTTGGTCTTTGGAATTTCAGTACACCAGTGTGACGCCCTTTGTAGCTGCTGAAATCTGATCTTAGGTTTTATTTTTGAGTTCACATAATGATTTTTAAAATATTCTAATATACGTCTTCAAAGACCCTGGATCAATATGCCAATGGTTTTGAAATGACAGAGTGCTGCGATATTCCTCTGTAATTTAAACATGATTAGCTGATGAAGGTTATGATCAATACACTACGGGAAGATAAATTAATTGATATCATCCTTTCAGGATGATAAGAAGCCTATTGGAGGTGGGGTGTAACTAATGAAGCTGCTGCTTCGTCTCTGTGAGCCATTTTTTACATATTGCATTTTCACTTAATCATATTTATACTATCATTCATTTACATGAAAACCGTAAGCTGCGGACAAACCAGTTGCTTATTAAAATTGTGTTCATTTGGAAAAGGAATTATCTGCAAACACGATGTGGGCTCCTTCCATGTTGTGACCTATTGCTGGGGAGAGATGATGTGTTCCCTTTCGTGGGCATCTTTGAAAATAGCAACGATCTAGGCAAAGGCAAGGATTGAATATCACTGCACTTAATTACAGCTAGTCCCCAAAGACACACATCTATTCAAATAAAAACTGTAGTTATTCTGCTGTAGTGACACCTATTGGTGTAGGAAGAGTTTTCTAATCGTTGGCTTCCTTTCCAATTAAATTCAGTATGCTTTATCAGCCAGCCTATTTGCCAAGAGAAGTTATGGCTGGTTGAATTTAGCTTTGTATTGATTAAGATAAACTTGCAATGTGTGTAGTAATATATTTAAATAAAAAAAGGTCTTTGGTATAATTACACATCCTTGAATATAATTCTACAAGATAGCTTGTGTAACAGTGAAGAGTAGTTCTTTAGGCTTTGCTAAAAAAAGATTTTTGGCTTTCAGAGGGGTTTAGTTAAATTACCCTGTCTTATTTAGGATTATTTTTGCTCCAAGTAACTGGGACAAACATCATTTTATATGAATAACTTAAAAGAGATACGTGTGTGGTTTTGGTTTCCCATTCCTCTGAGGCCTCCAGGGAGTCGGGCTGGCTCCTTCCATCCCGTCTCACCCAGCGTGGCTTCTACTCCCAGCGTCACCTCCTGGCCCAAGGTGGCTGCAGGGGCCGCAGACAACATATGTGCATTTCAGGCAGCAAATAGGAAAAAGACAGAAGAAATGGGCAAAGCGCAGCCTCTCAGGGAAGGGTCTGAGAAGCTGCGAGTGGTCCTTCTGGCATCCCGCTGGCTGGAGCTTGCTCACACAGCCACAGTCAGCCGCCGTGGGGGTAGGGGTGGGGGGCGGGAGGAGGGTCTGGGAAATGTCACGTTTATTCCAGTGGTCATGGGCCCAGCTAAACATCAGGAGTTCGAGTTTACTGTGAAAGAAGTGAATAATTGATTTCAGGAATGACCAGTGGTCTCTGCTACGTTCCTTATGTCTGGAAATCGGTTCACACTGATTTCTTTTGTCTCTCTGCCCGCTAGTCGCCCAGAAGATTGTTGCCACAAGGAAGAAGCAGCAGCTGTCCATAGGACCCTGCAAGTCATTACCCAATTCTCCAAGCCATTCCTCTGTCTGTTCCGCACAGGTGTCCGCCGTGCACGTAAGCCAGGTACGTTAGGCGACGTGAGATGTTGGGCTGAAAGGCACATTGGAACCAAGGAGCGGGTGTAGGTGACGTTCACAGACAGTGCCGAAGTTGATTTTTTTTTTTTCTTTTCGACTTAATAAATAACAGCATGTTGTAATTGACTTAGCATTTCCTTCAGAAGCTGCTGTGGCCAAGAGGTTTTTGTGGGAGTCCTTCAGTGTTTTCTGTCTTCACGCTGCCTGTGCCGAGGCACGCTGGCCCTGGTGGCGAGGCGGGGGTGTGCCGCACACTCGCTGGTGATTTAAATCCCCCTGCTCTGGTCCTCATCCTAGTCTGCTTGTAGCTTGAACAGTTGTGAGTAAGTTTTAATGGCTAATCCCACTATATGCTTAGATTTGGCGGCGGCACTCAATTATAATTACCAGCTCCCTTAGGTCCCATAGAAACTGCTGTCTTTCTGTAACAACATTTTGCTAAATTATTTACTCGGAAGCAAACGAAATAATTGTCACTTTGAAGAACCTAACCCAAAGCCTGGTAAGGAAACGGTTGGCTTTGTTTTGCCTGTATTTGTTTTGTGATGAACGTTTCTTGAGCAGTCGTCTGTTGGCACTTTTTTTTTTTTTAGCATACAGTGAAAAGGTTTGGTGTCACGCTTTGAGTTTGATTAGGAAGTCAATAAGTTATTTATTTATTTAATGTCAGGGCCTGTGCACTCAAGAATGTGAATGTCTTCACTGTTGGTATCTTCAATTTTCGGTGACTCTCGAGGTATTTTCCAGAAGCACTCACGTTTTCAAGGTGTCGTTTTTCAGGTTGGTAGTTGTGGTTCTACTGGGTGAACCAGTCCTTTCTCCGCGCCTGATCTAGAGCAGTGAAGGGAGCAAAGAATCCTTCTGGTTTAACCAACCCCTTTGTTTTTCAGAGAAAATAGAAAATGATTACATTTCAACACTCACAGATATTTAAGTTAAATAGTAGAGACTTCTTTTCCTTAAGTCACTTTTCATAGGCAGAACAACTAGAGGAGATGACGGGTATGTTCTAGAATGAGACGGTATACTTGATGCTGATACAACTGGCAGAGTCAGGGAAGCTGCCTCGCTTGTCCCCCACGAATCTCTCCGGTGCAACTTGCTAACTTGTTGGTTGTGACCCTGCTTTAAGTGGTGGCCTTCGGTTCCTGGAGTACGTCATTAATAAAACCTTGGTTTCTAATCGTTGCAGACAAGCAATGGAGGTGGGAGTCTGAGCGACTATTCCTCCTCCGTTCCGTCGACTCCGAGCACCAGCCAGAAGGAACTGCGGATCGACGTCCCTCCCACTGCCAACACGCCGACGCCCGTCCGTAAGCAGTCCAAGCGCCGGTCCAACCTCTTCACCGTGAGTGTCAGCCCGGGTGGCGATCTGAGTGTGATACTGGGGGGTTGCAGTTAATACCAACCTGGGCCAGACGGTTCGATGATATTTGTAGAATTCGAAGTAAATGAATGGGAGTAGCATGGGTTTCTGTGGAAGTCTAAGAAAATTATGAGAAGCAAAGCTTTGGTTATTGAGTAGAATGGGAATTTCTCAGTGCGGGCAAGTACTGACAGGTGTCAGAAATGAAGAGCGAGGGGTGTGTTCAAAGGTGTTTATAATCCTGTGACTTTCGAGGTCTCCCACTGAAGATGTGTTGCCTCGGATACTAAGAGATGACACAGCTCTGCCAGGATTCCCACGTGTGTGTGCCTAACCCTGCAGAGGAAACATACAAGCCGCTACGGCCCACGGGCCCCTGCCGCTCTCTGGCTGGGCTGCCCAAGGACTCAGGTCAGGGGCTGGAGGTGGATGTGGCCTTCAGCACCCCGAGCCTCTCGGGCCTCGGGGAGGCTCATTGTTCACAGAGGCTTTCTCCGGGGTTTTCTTCAGAGTCCCATGTGGAGCATTTTAAAACTAGAGTTGAGATATCTGGGCTCAGATTTATGAACTCAGACCTGTGGCTGCAGCTCAGGCATGTGTAGGTTTTAAAGCTTCCTGGTGATTGAGATGCAGAGAATCCCTGAACCGCAGAGGCGGCAGGAAGGCTGCCACCCTGTCCCTTCGTGTCACACAGCAGACATTACCAATCAATCACGGGGTCTTTGAGGTTGAGCCCAGAGCTCCAGGTAGAGCCAGTGTCCTGAGACTGACGTCATTTGACGAGAAGAACACTTCACCCCCATCCCCCCGACACACACCGGACCAGCTCTGTGCATTGCAAGTACGTGCTTTTAAACAGTGGTGCTCAACCTGCCATGGTTTTGCTTCCTACAGACATTTGGCAATTTCTGGAGAAAGTTCGGGTTGTCACAACAGGGTGGTGGGGGTAGGTGGGTAGGGTACTGCAGGCATCTAACCAGGGGTGCTGCTAACATCCTGCAATGCACAGATCAGCCCCGGATGTCAGTGCTGCCCTGTTTGGTTGACTGGCTTAGACACGAGGAAGTTTAACATTTCCTGTCTTGAGCTAAAGGAGGACTCTGAGGAGGTGGCTGGGAGTCTTTTATCTGATCCACTCCTCTATTTGATAATGGCGTTCTTGGTGCTGTGTCTCCCACCTTCCCCCGTGCCTTTCCCGCCATGCTCGCGGCAGTCTCCCATGGGGCAGTGGTTACGTTGAGGCCTGTTGCCAACAGCACATCCTTTGCCCTCCCCACCCTCCCCTTTGCTGATTGCCCAGTGCCACGTCAGCCCCCACAGATGCTGAGTTGGAGTGGACAACTCAGACACACCAGGCTCAGACCCCAACCCCCACCACTGCCTGCTGCTATTTGACCTTAGACAAGTTACTTAACGTCTCTGAGCTGGAAACCATAGTACTTCTGTGGTAGGGCTGCTGGGAAGACTCCCTGTGAGGGGTGGAGGAGACTTGGTGCTTCCATTATAACAACGATTTCTGCTAGTGTTAGGCAAAAGTAGTTGTAGAACCACTTGAAAGACTGGGAGGTGAACATTTAGGTTTCTGGAACAAATAGGTGAAAATCTGATATGCTTAAATTTGTATGTGAATAAGATGTTTCGTTGTGAAACTTCCTCAGACACACAGCGACTGACAGCAGCCACCTGCATAGCTGTCACACTTCCCGGCTCCGCCAAACGCCTGCAACCCTCTCTGCACCCCGGCCGGGGCTTTCGGTTGAGAGGGGCCAGCTCGCAGAACAGGGTGCGCGCTCAATCATGACTCAGTGGCTTGAGAAACCAATTCCCAAAGATGCGCGGGGGGCGGAGGGACGTTCAGAGAGGGTGGGCTGCCTGCAGGCAGCCAGCGCCACAGAAGGTGGGGGGACTTGTTACCGTGGTGACGAGATTGTCCTCGGAGTCGTTGCCACCCCTGTCCCAACACCTGTCAAGGGCCACATTTACTGCTCCTTGACTTTGGTTTCTGTTCTAAGGAGATAAATGATAAACCAGGAAGTGTTTTTAGAATGGGACTATTTGGAAGGAAACCACCAGCACATCCTTGTCCCCACCCTTTATCAGGGCAGCTCCGGAGTTGAAACGTGCCAGAAAATTCTATGCTGGACCCTGCCCACTATGTCGCTGACGCCCTAGGTGGCTTACAGAGGAGAACACTTTATCTGAGGCAGAGAGAATCAAAATAACAACTCAGTTAATAAATAAATATTTGCTTAACCTCTGCTCTCCGCAGAGCCCTGGTTTTGCTCAGTGTCCAGCAGAAGCACTTGCTGCCAGAGTCGCCCGTGCTCAGGAGAAAGTGGTTTAGAGTGAAAGGAGAGGGCTCTGCTGAGAGGGGAGCAGAGGACAGAGAGGTTAGGGGGCCCTCGTCCTGCTGACTCGGCCGCAGACACACGCACACGTGCACGTGGCGTCGCCCAGGAAGAGGCTGGGAAGCCACATTTGCCCCGGGCAGGGCAGGTGCAGAGCCAGCAAAACCTCACTGTTGTGGCGATCAGATTCACCATTAATTATATCGTCGTTAATGTGTCTTGTGGTATAATGGCCTGCCTGTGAGTGAAGGTGTTACCAGTGTTTGTTCTCTTTCTCCTTAATCCTGGGGAACATTCCGAGAGTAAACCATTGCGGAAATGGATTCCAGCTGCTCGGATATCATTAGTGGGAACGGAAATGAGGGTCAGGAAAGAAGCTGCTACGATAGATTTGCATCGTGGTGTGTGAGGGAAAGACAGCCACGGTCCCGGGCAGGGACCCGGTGTGTTGGTCATTACTGGGTTTGACGTGGCACAGAATGATGGTGATGGTGGTGGTGATGCATGAGGTGTGTTTTTAAGTTGAAGAGCTTGGAAACATTAACTCCACTAGATGTCAGTGTCATCCAAGGAGCGAAAAGAAGGCAAATTAATTTTGAAATCATCGCAATTAAGAAATTAAATTCTTTTCCTTACCAGTTTGCTCCTATTCTTAAACATGTAGAATTTCATAGACTCTTTGTCCCTGGTGACTATTGGTGATTATTGTCTTAAATTGTCAAAATGCATATTTATTTAGAAGTTCCTTCCTGTTCCTTCTAGTAGGAAGACAGATGCACCATAGTCTGACAATCTTAGTGAATAAAAATCCATGCAGACTAAGATTGTAACACCCAAATACATGGGGCACTGTCCACCTGGTTTATTAGACCATCATAAAGAGGCATAGTTAATTAAGTAGTACACACATCATTTTTCAAACACCATTCTTATACATTTTATAAAGTAGACCTGTAATGTACCAGCCTGGGCTAACATTTTTAACTCCGGGTGTTTGTTTCCGT